CAACCACCTCCCCACCTCCAGGCTCCTCCTCATATTACATGTAGTCGCAGAATCCCACACTGGGAACTACAATTTTTTTTCTCCTCGGATTGAATGTATTTGACTCAGTGCATCTCAAAAAGTGAAAAAAATATTAAATCTAAAAAGTAAACACTTTGTACATTAATGTATACTTGGTAAGCTGTCTTAGAGATGTGTAACTGGGGATGGTATTCAACCTGGCCTTTAAGCCATCCAATGTTGATGCCTCCACTACTGATTCTGATGCAAGATATTATTTTAGTTTGTTACTCTGTCCTGTCTAGATCTTAGCATGACATGTGATGTCCTCAAGTTCTGCAATCACTTGCTGTGAACTATACTACTGGAACTGCTTTAACAGCCTGTAGAAATGCTCTGTGTGACCAAAAGAGTAATAACAAGGTAGACAAGTGCTCGAATGTATGAAAACACAGTGTAACAGTAATATGTCTAACATATGTAATTGTTTACATCTATACATTGAATTGTCATATATTAAAATCAGCTTTTAAAACATTTTGAATGTCAGAAGTATTTAATGCTCAGTGTATACAAAAAGTGTAAGACGCATGACCAAAATAATTTGCGAAACTTATTTTTAGTTCCGGAAACCTGTCTCGCGGAAACGACATATTCCGCTCGTACTTCTGTAACACTGTGTTTTGTGCTCTATTGTCTATGGTAAGATAAATATACAGCAATAATCAGATGTAGACTAGGTAATGGTAGCAAATATACAGGAACTACACAACAAACAGTAAAATCAAGCACAACAGGTTTGGAATGGTGCGCTAAATTGTGTACGGAAATATAATTTCGTGAATAAAACCGGACCCGGAGGCGGTCCAAAGATATATCGATCCGGAATACGAATCGGAACTTCGAAAAATTGATTTTTATTAAAGTTCCGAGCATTAATGTTATTTGATTTTAATGTATATCAAATATAAGTGTGGGGACACGATACAATATTATATTTGTGACGGTCTGGATAATAATATGACATAATTTTGCCTTTTACGCATTAAAATAGGAATAGGCAAAATGGGGTGGGGGAATGGAGTTCTAACTTCCAGTGAGCGAAATTGCAAAATTTTCACCGGGAACCCCACATTTTTGTATGCTTACCGAAAATCATATATACTTGGCTGTCTTCTGTAAAAGTTTTATAAAATTGACATGGGTTTTGATCGCATTTTTGCTTGTTTTAATGCATTCGTTCGATGTAAATTTGTTAAAATTGCATTTTGAAGAGAATAGATGGCCATGAAAAATGCATAAATATACCAAATATAATCATTTTTGTTTTATCTCTGCTTTTGATAGTACATCACGAGATGTGTAAAAAATATTCAACTTTGTGGTAACTCAAATTTTGTAAATATTATAGAAAAAAAATTCTTACTTAAATTTCATATTTTGGGGGAAATTTGCAGAAAAGTAGCTACCTTACAGCGGAAATATCTCAAAAAGTAAGTCGAGAACCCCCTTTTTTCTTTTCATATATGGAATCTACGTAAAACATGCAAGAAAATAAGCCTAATTAGAAAAAAATGACATGGGTTTTTCAAAAAGGACGGACCACCTTAAATGTGTTTCAAAGCACAAAAGCCTTTTTTATTATTTTTCCGCATAATTTAATATCAGCAAACCTATGTGCCAGAGTATTTATTATTGAACATGACCTAAAACTACATCTTGTACATCATCGTCATTGCTGTATGTAGAGGATGGAGGAGGACTGGGACCTCTTGGACTAGAAAGAGGTGTGTCCTGGGGTATATCCTCATGAGGTAAATCCAGGGGTTCATGGGGTTTCCCAATTGCTGAAATGTCAGCAGTTTCATTTTCATTTTGTTTGGCGCTGATATCCGTCTCCCCCATATGATGTTCCGAAGATCCCGGTAATTCTGTCGGGTCCACATGGTCCACATCCACTTGAGGCTTCTTATTACCACCTTTGGTGCCCGATTTGGTGCCTTTGTGGCTTGATTTGGAACGACGTTTGCGAGGAGGCATGCTAGTTGTTATTTTGTTTTTCACAATTAACTATGCAATGTGACATAACCGGAAGTTCAAATATTGGTCATGGCACGGTCTTATGGAAGTCATGTTCAGTCGTATGACCATCGTATGAACAAGGCTGTTATGTGCTTGAGACACGTCGTCTGGTATCGGCGACAATTCACGAGTGATATCTGTCATGTGTCTGAGTTAACATTTGTATTACATGCACTGCCCTCAACATATGTTACAGCCTACAACTAGATAAAGATTATCATTAATTGTGTCAGTGAAAGCATTGTATTAAATGAAATGTCATCAAAAATATGTCGGCGAACTGTACGGCAACTTAAATGTTTGTTAATTGCAAGTCGCCGTGCTATGCTATGAAATTATGTCAGCATAATTCCCATAATTTACGACAAGTTCGGAAACACGATAAATGTATGTAAAGCATGTAAATTAGTTATAGGTAGTGAAATTTGTACGAAAAAACACTGCAAATATTAATTTAGACACGTGATAAGTATCACTCGTGAGTTTTCACCGATACCAGACGGCGTGTTTGCAAGTCTAGAAGAAATATTGACCAATAAAGGAATGTTCTCAGTGGTGAACGGCATTGATGACAATGTGAGGAATTGATCCAAAACGCCCCAGAAGCCCAGTTCGTGTGATCACCGCCTGCCTAATAGCAATATCCGGTGTCATTGACACACAGTGACCTCGCTTGAATGCTACAGCACAGATACCACAACAACCACCCCACATCTTTTTCTACACCACCTGGGTTGTTGGAGTTGTGTGTTGTGTTTCTTTTTGCAAGAAAAATGTATTATCAAAATAATGAGTGTGTCCGGCGCCGCCTATACGGCCAGGTCCCTGACAAGTGATCATAATTATCAAAGATATGACATTGAAATACAGTAGTATTTCACATTTGCATTTTTTACCCAAACAGTATTGATTATGATAAAATGTATCAGGCAAAATCTACACAATATGAAATTATATAAGCCAATATATGGACCGATGACCTACGATTTTGGAGCTTCGATATGAACTACGTCCATTTCCTCTCAGAGCATAACAGGAACGTTAAATCAACCGGCAGAGCCTCGGGTTAGACAACCAAAAACACATCAACCCTCGGGTTGGAGATTTCTCTGCCACACCCTCAATGTAGGGGAAGATTATATTAGTCATCCCCAGGGGAGTTAGCCTCGTACAGAATCGTGCGATATAAGTCTGACAATAGTATGACGTCACGTCAACAGTAATAAACCATGGAAGAAAACTCTGGGTTTGCTGGAAAACATGCAATCCACGCTGATATTTCATTCAATCACCGCTTGTATTAAGGTAGGAGAAAAACATCCATCCCCTACCTTGATCGTGTGGCAGGGAAATCTCCAACCTCGGAATGATATTCTCGAATGTCTTACCCTATTCTATTAATCTTATTCCTAATCATGTACTGTATGTCTTTTTCAAACTCGTGCGTAATTATGACTTGCAAATGAAAGTTGCAATCTGACTGCCTGATGCGCATTTTTCTGTGCATTTGCGTACCTGAATTAAATGTCTTTTCGACCTCAGGACAACAAACACCGCAAAATTCGAATTCAAAAGTGCGTTGTTAACTTTGTAATGAAAATTTTAAAAATGAAAAAGGTAAAATTAAGTATAAAACAGCCTCATTTTCCAGGTTATGGTCCTATAACACGGAACAGATTGCAGTTGAATGCTTAAAATGAGTTAAAGACGATGACGTTGCAGACTTCCTGACATCATGGGAAATAGAACGTGGATGGATGACGGGTTTCGCGCCTACATGAATCCGCCCTTACGGGTTTCATTTCACTGTTCTGTCGGCGTTAAAAATAGAACGTGTATACAGTAGCTATATATAGTATATAACTCTAATTAAGATGGATTGGGATGGTGTTGAAAATAAAGATAAATTCAGGAAGAAGGATCAGGACGATGAACAGTTGTATCGTCAAAGAACATTAGACGGTTTATAAACAATGCAATAAAGGAATCGTATCAAGTTCGAGGGTCAGTATATATATTTATATATCAGAGGGCAGCTGATTTTTATCACAGATTCCCAGCTGGTTGGGAACGTAATACAAACCCCCATCATTTCATACTTATTGAGAATAAATTACCGCTAAATATAACATATTTACACTATTGGATCGGATTTCTAATTACATGTGATTCAGTGACCATAGCAACCGTTACCAAAGTTCAGCAGCAAAATTAGGGCGCCCATAGCTATTCCTCCGACTGACCTAGAATGGTAAGACCTGGGACGATGAAAGCTAGTGACTCAAGCTTAAGCCGTCTGACCGTTAAAATATGATCAGGCACGAAAAAAGTTACAAAAAGGACAAAATCTGCTATTAATTTGCATGAACTTAAGGGATAAGGACTGGGACGAGAAGAGTGTGTGATGCAATCCTTATGAGGTGTAAATACTGTATGATCAGTCACGAACGTAATTACAAAAAGTGCTGAATTAGATATCAAAGTATAAGGAACTAGGAGGAGCAGAGAAGTGATTTAAACGGCGCGAATTAAGTTGCAGATAAATCTTTTGTGATATTCGTTTGTGATAAGAACAGGGACGGAAGTATTTTCTATCTGATCATTTAAAATTTAGACAGGAAATCTGTTCACCCGTTTAATAACTACCGGGGGACAGGACTGGGGACGAAAGGAGTTACGGAACAAAGAGTCAGTGAGATACATCGCCAGCTGACCAGTGAAGTGCCAGTCAGGGACGAACAATATAATTACCAACATATTACGTAACACACATAAATGGATAACTGGACAAGGCGCGTCTTAATTTTCCTGGCATTATGCGTTTTAGTGGGTAAGTCATTTATCATCTGTTTCTACAGGGCTACGAGGTACATATGTAATTGATTGAAGCACATTTGTAAAATTAGCTAGACTAAAAACACTCTACTTATATAAGTGTTCAGTGTAAGACCATGCGTTTCCGCGGGACTTTTTGAAGTCGTTATCGCTAGCTATGTCCCATTCATCGTCTATACCGCACAGCGCTATTCATGAGGATATCTGTATTTGCTGCGGAACTGTGATGAAATTGTTTACATCGTTTATTAAATAAATTAATTTAACTTGGATATTTACATAGTGTATCACTGCTTATACAAGATGTTGTTTTAATTTTTATACGAAAAGATCCTTTTGTTTAACCATCAGTAACGATTGCACTGTACACGTTTTATTTATGACTACGTTATCCTACCCACAGGTACTTGTGAACATGAGTGTGATTTTTCCGTTAAAATGTTACGTAACAGACGAATGAATTATTGTATAACAATCGCATGCTTATTTGTTATACAAATAATGTATTCGTCTGTTACGTAACATTTTAATGGAAAAATCACACTCGTGTCCACAAGTACCCGTGTTTAGACCATGCATTTTAGCGGGACTGTTTTTAAGCCTTATCACTATGTCTCATGCGTGTTGTGCTATATAACGCGTAGCTGAATTGTCCTGATCACACTCCTCCCCAACCTCTCCTTTTGGGTAGTTAGAGGAGGATAATGTATCATGACGATCTACATGGCCCTGTGTAGCACACGTACATGTTGTTTTAAGTGTGGACGATCACTCTGCTTATTAGCGGGACTGTTATTAAGCCTTGTCACAGGTGGTTATATTTTCATCTGCAATACACATTTGCCTTCTGCCGAGAAAATCCTACATGTATTACCACATGACCTAATATTTTTTTCTCTCCAGTTTTCACAGACAATCCATTGATGTTAATGTCAAAAACTGAAATCAATATACACTGTACTATTTGTTTACATACGTACTGACAGGATCTGTTAATTATTATTACATATAAACATATCTTCACATTTCATATTGTTTCTTTTAGTTTGTCAATAACATTGAATACTTAACAAATCCATTTCTATTCAAATAAAACATAAATTCCAGTTAACAATCACATGTTAATTTCAAAAAATGTTCCATTCATTGGAAAATATCCACTTTGGGTTTGTCCCAAGCAACTATTCACTTATTCAAAGACAATCGACTTGTATTCAGTATGTCTATGTGCCAACCCAGTGCAAATGATTATATTTTATCATAAAGTTCCATACATTATCTAAATATTTATTCAAAAAAATCCTGCCATTTTTTGAGTTTCATGGAATATGTTTGTTATTGTTCAATATCATCAAAACATCTAAAGCATGGTCAAAGGGAAACCAGGACACATTATTCTTTTGTAGAATTCCTGTCCACAAAAAATAATAATGAAGTAAAATCAACTGCTGAACAAAATATCATATCAACATGTTCACATTTACATTGTACAATGTTATCATGTACATTGTAGGATATAGATTGCGACCCAACTTTGACGCTTGCGTCAACTAGTTTTCTTGTACACCATTTGTGATAACACTATTTATATAAATGGGAGTGGCTGAAATAATTCCGGGCTAGGATACATGTAATATGCAGTTTATGCATACATAATTAAGAAGAATTAATATTTCAATTATAAAAAGAGAAAAATCGACTAAGCAGAAACAATTTGATTCAATTACAAACAGAGGCAAAGATAAAAGTATTTTCTATTTTATATACTACATTTGTATAATATAAACTGGCCTTTACAGGGAATATAATTTCCATATACATGTATTATCTAATAATTCCCATCGGCTAATCACTAAGTGGGTTTTTTTTCCAAGTTCAAAGGCTTCCGTTCGTAACTTTCTCGAACATCGGAAACCCCATCGGGAATATCGATGTTAACAAAAGGATTTTCTTACAACGTAAATGTAGATTTTGTACTTGAACATGAACTTTTATGTAAATAGCGAACCTCATCGGAATGGCTGTATATAATATTTGATCACCACAATGAGGTTATTGTTTGCCTCCTATAACTTGAAACTTCACGTAAATAACGACGGTGTGACGTCACGTACTTTACACTATGTACAGGTATGACTGAAATACAGTTTCTTTAACGGAGCTTTCTGGACATTAGTTGGACACGTGGAACTCAGTTTGTATCTGTCTAATTGTTATTATACGGAGTAATGGTCAGTTATTTAGTGCGTGGTCAAGCACGTGTCCACTGTCACACTGGTCACTTACAGCAGGTTTTCATAATTAAATTATCTATGCCAGCGACAACTGTCACAAAACATTACAGATCTTTGTCAGAAAGCCCAACGAGGGCGAATGTTTCCGGCGTGTTCTGGTAATGGCTGTTTCCCTATAGGATATGATGTTTAAAAACAAAATCATACATGTAACCTGCTTTTTAATGGTGTATGAAATAGTACTGTAGTTCAAAGTTCATAAACCGCCTTCAAGAGACGTGCGTGAAAATTGTACGATCCCCCCCCCCCTCCCTCCCCCCATTTTTTTTAGTCAAACGTGTACATTCTCTCTTTTATGTCGCTCAGCGGAAGCCTCTCTGATACATGTACACGCTTTTCCAGTAAGGAAATGTCATCGAGACAATTTGTAGCTTGAGATGAAAAAAATATCCAGCCTTTTTCCGTCATCTATGTTTTTTACTTGTATCTATCCTATCTAAAACTTGTGTACGACTGAATTACAGAAAACAATTCTTAGCAAGTTGGTTGTCTCGGAGAATTTATATTAATGTTTGGTATACGGAAGAAATCGCTGATTTTGTTTTACGGTAATTAATTTAACTGAATCTTTATAAGTTAATTGGTAGATTTAATAGCACAAGAGCTGTAAAACCAATGAACCGGGGCCAAATCTGAGATGTAAAATTTTACAAGTTACCTCCCTTGTATGAAATGACATAAGATCTTGTAATTTTTGTTTCAGAAATTTTAAATAAAGGATTTTTATTTAAGCCATAATTTTGTAATGTTCTGATTTATTTGAACTAACAAGTACTATTATTCACACTATATTACCTGCATAAAAAGTAAGATTACTTAATTCAAATATTTCTTTGAAAAGATGACAAAAGTTTTCTAGAAAGTATATATACCTTTTGGGCTGCGATACATGTTTGAGAGAAATTCGACGTTTTAAGTCGGATGAATAAAGTAACAATGACAGGTCCGAACTTTGTATTCGTACGAAAGCCTTAATCACACGGGATTGTTGTGTTAAAAGCTCATTCAAAATCTATGTACACGTATAATGTAAGGCCATCTGTTCCCGTGGTTAAGGAGTCTGACCGTCTACTATATATAACGACCCCTCCATTAGCTGGGTTGGAGGCTCGAGGCCTTTGGTGGTTAAGGAGTCTGACCGTCTTCTATAAAGTCCCCTCCATTAGCTGGGTTGGAGGCTCGAGGCCTTTGGTGGTTAAGGAGTCTGACCGTCTTCTAAAACGACCCCTCCATTAGCTGGGTCGGGGGCTCGAGACTTATGGTGGTTAATAAGGCGTCTGATCGTATTCTATAACGGCCCCTCCATTAGCTGGGTTGGAGGCACGAGGCCTTTGGTGGTTAATGAGTCTGACCGTCTTCTAGAACGCCCCCTCCATTAGCTGGGGCGGGGGCTCGAGGCTTATGGTGGTTAATAAGGCTTCTCGTCGTATTTTATAACGACCCCTCCATAGCTGGGTCGGGGGCTAGGGACTTATGGTTGTTAATAAGGCGTCTGATCGTATTCTATAACGGCCCCTCCATTAGGTGGGTTGGAGGCTCGAGGCATATGGTGGTTAAGGAGTCTGTCCGTCTTCTATAACGACCCCTCCGTTAGCTGGGTCGGGGGCTTGAGGCCTATGGTGGTTACGGAGTCTGACCGTCTACTTTATCGACCCCTCCATTAGCTGGGTCGGCGCCACGAGGACTGTGGTGGATAAGGCGTCTGACCGTATTCTATAACGACCCCTCCGTTAGCTGGGTCGGGGGCTAGGGACTTATGGTTGTTAATAAGGCGTCTGATAGTATTCTATAACGACCCCTCCGTTAGCTGGGTCGGGGGCTAGGGACTTATGGTTGTTAATAAGGCGTCTGATCGTATTCTATAACGGCCCCTCCATTAGCTGGGGCGGAGGCTCGATGTCTATGGTGGTTAAGGCGTGTGACCGTCTACTACAACGACCCCTCCATTACCTCGGTCGGGTGTTCGAGGTCTAAGGGGGTTAAGGAGTCTGACCGTTTTCTATAAAGTCCCCTCCATTAGCTGGGTTGGGGGCTCGAGGCCTTTGGCGGTTAAGGAGTCTGACCGTGTACTATAACGACCCCTCCATTACCTCGGTCGGGTGTTCGAGGTCTAAGGGGGTTAAGGAGTCGGACCGTCTACTATAACGACCCCTCCATTACCTCGGTCGGGTGTTCGAGGTCTAAGGTGGTTAAGGAGTCTGACCGTCTACTATAACGACCCCTCCATTAGTTGGGTCGGGTGCTCGAGGCCTATGGTGGTTAAGGCGTCTGACCGTCTACTACAACGACCCCTCCATTAGCTGGGTCGGAGGCTCGATGTCTATAGTGGTTACGGCGTCTGACCGTCTACTTTATCGACCCCTCCATTAGCTTTTTACTTTTTTAATGATGGACAAACATCCAAGGAAAAAGACAAACCCTGCCTTGACCATGTGGACAACCAGGATACCACCACAAAAACAGTCTGATAACAAATTCGACAGGGGGTCAAAATGAAGGTCAAAGCGATTTGGTTAGGCTATATACAGGTAGATTTGACCTAAAATTAAATTGTACGTCTAAAAAATGAAGGTCAGAGAATAGGTCATTGCTACCCAGTTACTGTACACACAGTAATCCTTCCAAGCGGTAGTCATCAGTGCTATATTATAGGATCTTTTCTATTAAAAAAACTGCGACCTACTCCGATAGCAGAGTAAGGATATCTTCATGTACCAAACTATATCTAGTGTTGTTCCAATGTCTATTTGCTGTTCCTTGACTTCAACATACTTCCTGTTTTAATCATTGACCCTCACACATAGTAATACCTTGCATAAATGAAATCCCATTTGGTAAAAGCACAATGATAAAAAGTCAACGCAATATATACATGTATAATGGTTTTATTATTATAAATATTTTACGAAATATAAACCTGACGAAACATAAACCTGACGAAACATAAAACCTGACGAAATATAAACCGAAATATAAAACTGACGAAATATAAAACCTGAAGAAATATAAACATGACGATTTATAAACCTGACGAAATATAAAACCGGAAGAAATATAAATCGAAATATAAACCTGACGAAATATAAACCTGACGAAACATAAAACCTGACGAAATATAAAACCTGACGAAATATAAACCTGACTAAACCTAACGAAATATAAACCGAAATATAAACCTGACGAAATATAAACCTAACGAAATATAAACCTGACGAAACATAAACCGAAATATAAACCTGACGAAATATAAAACCTGATGAAATATAAAACCTAACGAAATATAAACCTCACGAAATATACACCTCACGAAAAATAAAACCTGACGAAATATAAAACCGGACGAAATAAAAACCTGACGAAATATAAAACCTGACGAAATAATAAACCTAAAGAAACATAAACCTGACGAAATATAAACCTGACGAAATATAAACCTGACGAAATATAAAACCTGATGAAATATAAAACCTAACGAAATATAAACCTCACGAAATATACACCTCACGAAATATAAAACCTGACGAAATATAAAACCGGACGAAATATAAACCTGACGAAATATAAAACCTGACGAAATATAAACCGAAATATAAAACTGACGAAATATAAAACCTGACGAAATATAAACCTGACGATTTATAAACCTGACGAAACATAAAACCGGAAGAAATATAAATCGAAATATAAACCTGACGAAATATAAACCTGACGAAACATAAACCTGACTAAACCTAACGAAATATAAACCTGACGAAATATAAACCGAAATATAAACCTGACGAAATGTAAAACCTGACGAAACATTAACCTGACGAAATATAAACCTGACGAAACATAAAACCTGACGAAATATAAACCTGACGAAATATAAACCTGACTAAACCTAACGAAATATAAACCTGACGAAACATAAACCGAAATATAAACCTGACGAAATATAAACCTGAAGAAATATAAACCGGACGAAAAATAAACAATAATAAACTATAAGAATTTATCAAAATAAAAATTGTTATAAAGTCTAAAACCACACGTGGGTGAATTTCAGACTCCACAGACTGGAAACAGCTAGCACAAGAGGAACTCGACAAAGCTTTGAACCGGAAACCCAACACCAACAAGGCGCTCAATGTGATCCTGTTTATAGGCGACGGGATGGGCGTGTCCACTGTGACGGCGGCCAGGATCCTTAGGGGCCAAACACAAGGGAAACCGGGCGAGGAGACCGTCCTCGAGTTCGAGAAATTCCCTAATGTAGGACTTTCAAAGGTTGGTTAACAATTATCGTGACATACCCGGAGAAATGTAAAATTTACATTTTAGACCTTTTTATATATGTTATAGTTCTAAAAGTGTAAACAGATTTAGCAGGCAATCTGTATAATAGGCCTAGAGTAATGTATTCAGAACATAAAAAATCTACATGGGAAAAATATTTTATATATTATACTGTAGAATATAAAGATTTCAGAACCATTATTAACGGAAAAACTTTCACACTTCGATCAGTTTAACGAGTTGTAAAGCGAACATTTCATCTACTTATGTAGCCTATATATTTATCGTAACAAATCTAAATAATCTTTGGGCTTTTCACAACAACTGCAAAACAACGTCTGTTAACTTAGAACTTGTCTGTAAATGTGTTATGTCAATAGGAGACGGCTTCATAAGTTGAAATAACTTGTGCCTGATCCTTTTGTGCCAATATTTGGACAATAAAATATGTTTAAAGTCAAAAAAGCCCAGATGGTAGCGCGCATGGTCCTTATTTGGGAGGAAACTGGATTCCCCGAAGAAAATCCACTTGATCGGGCTGATGACCCCATACGTACGATCGGGGAATCGGACCCCGACGGTGAAAGCGAGGCGAGTGCGCTATTCAGTGCGCCACCCGACCACTCAGAGATCTAGAATAAAGTACTATCGACAGTAAGCCTACCTTAACGTGTAATGTTTTATTTCCTCTGCAGACGTATGCCAATGACAAACAGACTACGGGCTCGGCTTCCACCGCCACCGCCATGATGTGCGGAGAAAAGACAAACTACCGCATTGTTGGCCTGAACGACCGCGCCATCGCAAAGAACTGTTCTTCAACGTTCGGCAACGAAATGCCATGTGCTTTCCAATGGTTTCGAGAGGATGGTAAGTCTGCCCTGCAGTCCATTGTCATATCGTTAGAGTGAATATATTCCCATGGAATGTTCGAGACTATACTTGAATCACCAATTTTTATTTCAAAGTAGCAACTGTCCTTCTTCCTTATATAAAATGAAAAAGAAAAATACATCTCACGCTGTTATTGAGCGCCTATGTTTTGTTGAGCAATACAAAAGCGTTTTGATCCCTTTCGATCCATTGACATAGTAAGACTATAGAGCCCTCCACAGAAGGACATAATGATTTAGTGCATAACACGTCAAAGCACTGCTGAACATTGCCAGTGGTCCTCAGAATAGTCCTAGTCACGGTAACAATCACGTGTGTTTCCTTTTACTACGTGGAGCACTGTCATTAGAGTGTACATTCGGAGTTTTTAGACTTTACAATGGCTAGATAGGTCATATATGACGACAACGCTCTGCACAAAGAAACCAGCAACAATGTACAGTTGATATACCTAGAACTGGGTACGTCAGGGTCACGTGCTGTTTAATCCTCTTGCGGGACTGTATTAGGTGGTGTACTGCATTGGCAGATTTACAGAGGTTTTCCAGGTTTTAAGAAAGTAAGGACCTCAGCCCCTCCAGAATGTTCTGCCATTGTACTGATAGATAGTTGCACAATGCATTTTTGTGTCATCGTTTATATTTTTTTTCTTTTTACAGGACGGTCAGTAGGCGTGGTCACAACAGCGAGGATCACACACGCTACGCCCGCTAGTGCGTACGCAAAATCCCCGGAACGTGATTGGGAGGTGGATACGGCGATGGTTGGGGTAACGGGAGGGTGTACGGACATTGCTTCCCAACTCGTCTACAACAATAGCTTTGCCAAGGTGAGATCTGTACCAAACCTGTATTAAGCGTGTGACCAATGTAGCTGCTCATCAAGTTTTGTATACCATGGCCAATATGAAGTAAAACACCGCGAATGATATATATATATATATAACTAATCCTACTCGTCCACAGCAATTGATTTTACAAGGGTTTACCGACTCGTCCACAGCAGTTGATTTTACAAGAGTTTACCGACTCGTCCATAGCAGTTGATTTTACAAGGGTTAACCGACTCGTCCACAGCAGTTGATTTTACAAGGGTTAACCGACTCGTCCACAGCAGTTGATTTAACAAGGGTTTGCCGACTCGTCCACATCAGTTGTGTACAGGAGTCTACCATATCGTTCATTATAACCGATAACGACTTATTTACAATGCTCTCATTTTCATCAGTTTTGAGGAGAAATCACAGAAAATCCTTTGACAGCAAACATTCAGCTTTATACAGTTTACTATATTTACATGTGTCTATTCCACACGAAGTATCATTGCATATTGTATGAAAGGTATCTTACGTTTTAAAGAATAACCTGTCTATTTGTAGGTGATGATGGGAGGTGGACGCCGGTTTTTCTTGCCGATGAATGACACCGATCCAGAAAGCAGCAGGGATGTTGACGGAAAGAACGCCAAATGGCAACGCCTTGATGGTATCGATCTTACACAGGTATATGTACATGTAATAAGGGTTACCTCCCTTTCTATTATTCCGTCTAGAGGTAAAAGCTATATGTCAGGGTATATGTGCCTATAATGTAAAAATATCACGTTTAAATGGCAATTGAAAATAACTGACCTGCTGTAATCCACTCCATGATGATAGCAGACGACTGATAACGTCTGTGGAAAAGGGGACGTGCAGACCTTTCGCGTAAGAAGTTGTAAAGTACCGATCTCCAGAATCAATTTACAGTGCGTCTGATTTTCCGTTATCTCAGGAACACTGGTTTTGTGTGGATTCGGTTGTACCGGTGTTAATATGCTTAATTATATGATGTATCAAATGTTAAAATTAGATGTTTCTTATACCCAAAAATCAAACAGAATTATATTGGTAAAAGTCCAAATAACTAAGAATAATACGGCCTAGCATGGTTTATGCCTGGCCCTTGTCATATAATAGATATATTATATAGAGTTATATTTTGGGAATACAATATCGATGAATCAAAATTGTTTCATTAGCTTTCAATAATCTTGACTCAAATTTAACTCTCTCAACACTGACTTTCATGAAATCAAGTAGGTTTATTTCAAAATTAAAGTTTTTCATCTTAAAGTTGCTTTAAAGTAATCTTAGAGCGCACCGGGGCCAACATATCCGGATACCAAATTATTTTCAGTAACAACCTGGTCCCAGTTTAAAAAAAAAGTTGATTAACTTAAGCATTTACCTTTGGGAAAAAAGCTTTTATGTAAGAGAATTTCCAGTTTCCATAACTTTGCAAGGTAGTTCCATTAATTCCATTAGTTCCAGATATGATTATCAATAAAAAATTAAAAAAACTTGAAACCCGGAAATTATCTTTAGGAGATCTGTTAAATTGTAACCTATTTAATTATTTCATGAATTTCATAAACCTATTACATTTGATTCAATTACAGGTATGGAAGGAGAAGCACCAAGGTGATAACGCGGAGTATGTGTGGAACAAATCCCAGTTTGATGCTATCGACGCCTCTAAGACGGATTATATTCTGGGTAGCTATCCCAAAATGTTAATTGTCCTGACGATACTTTATATTTCTGGTTCAATAAATACATATCATTTGTCTCTCACTACGTCGCGTTTCTGTTTTATTTTATTTTATGTACTTTCAAAAGCTTGCATTTTATTTCACGAGCAACCTGGCTTTAAAGGGCATTGTTATTAAAATATGAAATGAAATACGTTTTGACCTTCAGCTTAACTAATAACAGTTAACGTTTTTCCAGTGCAACAAAATCTGCATTTCTTTGAGCACATTGCAAGATCCTGTGCAGCATCAGAATTTAGATTTTCCTATAACGATAGTTTCTAAGGTCCAGGAAATTAATTTTCATACATTTTTATTACTGCGCGTGTTTGATACATTGTAGCACGCTAAACTGTTTTATGTATTCCACAGGACTGTTTGAGGCGGGTCACATGCAACACGAGTCAGAGCGAGACAAAGGGACAAACGGAGAGCCATCCCTGGCGGAAATGACGAAGAAGGCCATCCAGGTCCTTCAGAAGGACAAAAATGGTTTCTTCTTAATGGTTGAAGGTACGTATACTTCTTCAATTGCTTGAGTGGTTCAGAAAAAAACGACATTGTTAAAGATTTTCTGCTGAATCGAATGAAGATCAAATTATAGGTTTTAATATGGGCCCCATAAACATGTCATAAGAGATTGCATATGCATCATCTTTGGAGAAATACTCTCTACAATGTAACACGCACAAACTATTATGGCGGAAACGTCTGAGATTAAAATTTTGTATAAGAGGAGACGGGGGTTGGGTCCTTCTCATTACCAGGCATTCATACCTCTGATAACCAGGCACTTAGACCTCTGATTACCAGGCATTTAGACCTCTGATAACCAGGCACTCAGACCTCTGATTACCAGGCATTTAGACCTCTGATAACCAGGCACTCAGACCTCTGATTACCAGGCACTCAGACCTCTGATTACCAGGCATTTAGACCTCTGATATCCAGGCACTTAGACCTCTGATATCCAGGCGCTCAGACCTCTGATAACCAGGCACTCAGACCTCTGATAGCCAGGCACTCAGACCTCTGATTACCAGGCATTTAGACCTCTGATATCCAGGCACTTAGACCTCTGATATCCAGGCGCTTAGACCTCTGATATCCAGGCGCTCAGACCTCTGATTACCAGGTACTCAGACCTCTGATTACCAAGCACTTAGACCTCTGATATCCAGGCGCTCAGACCTCTGATATCCAGGCGCTCAGACCTCTGATTACCAGGTATTCAGACCCCTGATTACCAAGTACTTAGACCTCTGATATCCAGGCACTTAGACCTTTGATATCCAGGCGCTCAGACCTCTGATAACCAGGCACTCAGACCTCTGATAGCCAGGCACTCAGACCTCTGATTACCAGGCATTTAGACCTCTGATATCCAGGCACTTAGACCTCTGATATCCAGGCGCTCAGACCTCTGATATCCAGGCGTTCAGACCTCTGATTACCAGGTACTCAGACCTCTGATTACCAAGCACTAAGACCTCTGATATCCAGGCGCTCAGACCTCTGATATCCAGGCGCTCAGACCTCTGATTACCAGGCATATAGACCTCTGATATCCAGCCACTTAGACCTCTGATATCCAGGCGCTCAGACCCCTGATTACCAAGCACACATACCTCTGATTACCAGGCACTCAGACCACTGATTACCAGGCACTCAGACCATTGATAACCAGGCGCTCATACCTCTGAAGCAGACCCTCAGACCTCGATTATCAGGCGCTCTGACCTCTGATTACCAGGCGCTCAGGCCTATATTACCAGGCGCTTAGACTTCTTATTCACGGTATTGAGACACAGATCCGCAATTCCTGTCCAATTTATCGCGGTTGTATTTTGTTTCGTTGCATTGGATCTCTCTCCGAACCCGATAAAGACTAAAGCGTTACGTGTCACGTATTTCACATATACGTAAACTCAATGTCCAAATCACAAAAATAATTCTAAGGTCGAATGCCATGTTTGTAATTACCTGAAGTGTGCAATGGACAGACCGTGTGTTATGTTTTACACACAAGCTGTCACGCCCTAACTTCAACAGGTCAAATGTCAAATCATTCCATTGATATTACAAAACTACGGAACGTTATTTGGTAAAATTTCGTGAATACAAATGTATAAGCAAAGTCGGCCGCCCCACATGTTAATTTAATGTATTGTTAAGTTGAACACAGTAGGAAGTTTGCTATGTCCTCTTTTGTCAAGATGGAAGGATAGACTCCGCCCACCACGACAACAACGCTAAGCGGGCGCTGTACTCGGTACTGGCTTTCGAGGACGCAGTGAAGGTTGCCACGGAGATGACAGATGAAAGCGACACCCTCATAATAGTGACAGCTGACCACTCACACGTGTTCAGCATCGCCGGCTACCAGAAACGAGGCAACGATATATTAGGTACGTAATTTCTTGAATTCCTTAATTAGGCAAACGATATTATCTGAACGTAATATCTGAACCGAGGCTGTTGTATCTAAGTAATGACTTGACCCCGGTATCACAATCGTTCCTTAGATAAAAAGAAACTACGCAGTATTTTCCATGTAGGGAATTGTAAAAAGAACTCGCCTGAGCTCAGACGTAAGCTAGAACGAAGTGACGACATCTTTGATTCTTAAAGATATTACACGATAAAGGCATCACTGGCAAGCAAACGATATGTTGTTTTTTCGGAATCCGGTACACCACAGTAAAATCCGTGATGCTTACAAAACACAGCCTGTTAATTCGCGAGATTGGGTACGTGTTACCTAGCAACGATAAATACGTAAACAATATGGCGGCTACATTGAAAAAGATAATTGTAGTACATTACGTATGTTAACAAATAAGTCAATGAACTTGATATTAATCCATACAAATGTTTCTTTCTACTTGATATTAATTTATACAAATGTTTCTTTCTATTGGTCTGAAAGCAACTCCTTCGATTGTTGTTTTGTCTTGCAGGTGTCATAGACGTAGGCGAGAAATCCGTGGCTAAAGATGGCATACCATTTACCACTCTTTTGTACGGTAATGGCGTAAGCTACGACTGGGGTAACAGGACCAACGTATCCGCAGTAGATACAAGTAAGTAGGTAGCACTGCATAACACCTATTCTGTATGTTAAGGGGTTAATAACGCCTGGCCAGCCTGTGCCATAGGGACATGCACACACAAATGCATGGAGGCGATATACCATTTTGAAAAATAAGTTCAAAATATCCAAATTACGTATCAGGACTCTGATGATCTATCGGGGTTTTTATATGACATATCTGGGGGTTAAAAGTTAAAGTGAACATACTATACCATCTTTTAGAGGGATTGTTGAACCTTAAAACTGTCGGAACAAAAATTAAGTCATGCCGAAGTCTTCGTCTTAAATGTTTCTCATCATTTTCTTATGTCAATATTTTATATATAATTTAATCTTGCTTGTAACAAGCATTTTCATTGGCTTAAAAATTTATGTTATCAGTCCATAACGTTAAAAGAATGACGTCGCCGTTTGTAACGTCGCTTTTGATTGGCTGATGCAGCAGCGCAATAATTTCAAAAAGAAAAGAGTGGATCAATAAAAGTGGATTTCCACAGGGATTGTGTATAGTAGATTAAATTGTAAGGATTAACTTAAATATATTTTTCATGTTATGGAGCTATAACACAAAAAAACGGAGTGTACACTCATCATAAACCGCTTCGCGGTTTATTTAGAGTACACTCCGTTTTTTTGTGTTATACCTCCATAACATGAAAAGTATATCTTCAAGTTAATCCTTAAATAATATTTTGATGAACCGGAAGTCAACGCTTACAAATCTCCGTTCTGAACTCATCAGTTTTCCTGTTACAGCCGACAACGATTATCTCCAGGTGGCCGCAGCTCCACGTTCCTCGGAGACCCACGGAGGTGAGGACGTGTCCATCTACGCACGCGGTCCGATGTCACACTTGATACACGGCGTGCACGAGCAACACTACATAGCGCACGTGATGACGTACGCCGCTTGTGTCGCGAACAACAAACATCGATGTGACAATATACAAAGTTACGAAAACACTGGAGCTGTATGCAGCACACATTCTGTTTTGAAACTATTTGTAACGTACTTTCTGGTGAAGCTAATATTTATATGAATGTAACACTGATCATGTGTTATAGGCATCACGGTTTAGGAAACTAAAACATGTTAATAGATGCAGGAGCGTAACGCATTGTCTTAATTTATAGTCGTATACTTTATAAACAACTTCTGTCCAACAACTACGGTTAAGCTTGCGATTCATCGACCTGGAATTGGGTGGCTAAACTGAATTTATTAAAATTGATGCCGGCGCACGCTATGCCAGGTTAAGATTGAAATGACAATAATGAATCTCTGCTCCTTATTGCTGTTACTTCTTGCTCAACTTAGCAATAGGGAAAGAGAATATTGATCAGTAGAAATGTCACGCTCATTGGCAAGGCTAAAGGTCATGAGCTAAAGGTCATGAGAAAATCATGCACATTGAATAAGAAATGTATTTCGCTTAAAATAAATAAACCTTGCTATTGAAAGGTTCAGCTTAAGGTGACTAAAAATATTTACCATAATAAATTCCAGCACCAAGCTGAAGGATTTTGTTTTCATATGTGTAAATCAGCAGGCTTTCAATATTGATTTCCATCTCTTGCGGCAAAATTTGTGATAAACAGAAGGACGCTTGTGGAACGTGTTAATTGTTTTTTGACGGACAAGCCTACGCACTGCTTACCTGCTGTCGTAGCAGCGAGTATTTATCACACATGGTATGGCGTTGTCATTTTCATATATAGATTTAAGTGTTTTCTTGGTTTTGTTGTAATGTAAAAACGAAGGAATGTATTTCACATCTCATATGAGACATATGAGAGTTGTTGGAGAATTGATGAGACATTAAGCAAACAGAGCTTCACAGCATGGAGATAGTTATAATCACTTGACAGATACATATATTATTCTATAGAAGGTATTGGGAGGAGGTCAAGAGACAGCACATGAACTTTTAACATCGTCAGAACAATATTTAGGTTTTGCAGTAAAAGCAAAAAAGCTGTTTTTTTGAAACAAAGATATGATTCTTTTTAAGACTTTAAATACTAAATTAAGTGATTTGTATATATTTTATTTGTTTCTTTCAAAAATTGCAATTCATCGAAATGAAATGTTCAAGATTTATTAATAACAATTATGACTTGACAAACTGCATGACTATCATTTATTGTTAATGAATTTGCTGATAAATGTTAGTTATACATGTACATAATTCAATATTGAAAGGTATGCTACATGCTAAAAATATTTCTACATTTCAACCCATTGTTTAATAAATCCGTTATATTTTTTATTTTTTTTGATAATATTTATTAAGTATTGCTATTTTTTTCCATTAATATGTTTTACTAGAAGGGAACCAAATGGGACCGTCTGATAAATATATCTCCAAGAGGTTGTATTTGTTAAGTTTATTTTTATTGGTATTTTTTTGAATATTCATTTATCTTATTTATATATTTATTCATTTATTTATACACATTTTGTTATAATTTTAGTCAACATATATAGAGACTGCTTTCGGAATTGTATCAACACTGCGTTTTATTGGTAACCTAAATACATATAAAGACGTTATGAGTGGAATTGAGGCCGAATTTAGACACACGAGGGGTTGAAATTGGAGGATGCTCATAATTTGGCTATTTACATTTTATATCTATATATTTATTATTTTTTTCCCGGTAATATTTTCTTTATTGGTATGGTAAGATGTTCTTAATAAGAACAAAAATACACACTAAACAATCAAACAATCCCACTATAGGTAAAACTATCACTAACGTCTAGTTCAATGTCGTTTTAAAATGTTACTGAGGTAGTTGAATATTCAAGTTGCAAATATCTTTTCAGTGTAGATAAAAATGTAGAGCATTGTAAAAAAAACTATTAATTGTCATCAGGTAGAAGCAAATACATTTATTTATCTACTACCGGACATCAATAATGTGAGCAAGTTCAAACAGAAAACTTCTTAAAATATACATATTAAATCAAAGTAGACTGATCCCGGATTTCTGTATCTAAAAGTACAAGATTCTATTTCACACGTTGTTATTAACACAAAACTTCTTAACCCTTGGAGTGCCACAGAGCCTATTTATTCCGGCTTTTCGTATTGCAGAGTTATCTGCTCTTATTAGCAGGTATTGATTGTTACGTCATTTGTTTGTGATAGTAACGTCATCATTTTTTCAGAAAACGACGTTATTTTCTCACACAAACTAATGACGTAACAATCAATACCTGCCATAAGAGCAGATAACTCTGCAATACGAAAAGACGGAATATGCTCTATGCTACTACCGTTGAATGCCAGAGAGCCTATTTGTAGGCTTTCCGAAATCCGGAAGTTCAACAATAGCAATGACGTCATCAACTTTTAAATAACGTCATAGACGGCGTTTCCGTGTTCCGGCAAATTAGCTCGACGGAATAATAGCGGCTCGATTGTTTGCTCCGTGGTTTCGACCTTATCCTCCTGAGATCCATGACATACAACCATGTTTGGAACCTCCGGGACCAACCAATATGCCCCCCAAGGAATTCGCCTCCAATTCATATTTCTTGCTTTTCTTTTCCTTTAATTTATTACGGAAATGAGTTTTGGAAACAAACAGGTATCTGACCATTTCAATGATATGTGTACAGTAATGTATACCTTGATATAAGTTCGAATCAAACTTGATACAGTAATATATTACATCACATATAATATTCCCATAGGCTAAAACTATCTCAATGTTTAGAGTGGTGTCGTCTTTGTGCGTATGTAGTGTTCTAAGTTTGTTCGGGTAGAAATAAAGACTTAACATTACAGGTGTATGTTTTTGTAGTTCATTGTAACTAGTAATACACCATGTAAAGGCTCAAATAAAGCTTACACTGTGTTGACATGTGTGAATTCAAAGGAACAATCAAACTGTAACTAATTTCTATGTAAACACGTCTAGCACATGTACATGGTAATGAACACTCAGTTCACCAGGATACTCTTTTGACTACTCCCCCAACAACCCCACCTATCTCGACGACTATATACTTTCCCCCCTTCCCGCCCACCTGTCATTCCTCCTTCCCTTCCCTCTACACCAACGATAGCNAGTAGAGGTAAAAAAGATAGAATCGATTTTTATATCTATAGTGTGCGTCCAATACTCTCGTTGCCTTACGAGACTGTTAATCTGGAGCCTGATCAAAGACTAGCTAATGCATATTAATTTAACTAGACAGGGTGAACAACTAATACGGTTATATTAGGACTTGTACGTCTTCCTCTCTTTGAAAGTTTCAAATTAAATGAAAACGTTCGAGTTCCTCAAATACTCATATCAAGTTCCTACCATACGATGTACATACATGTATTATTCAAACGTTCACAAACATACCCGTAAAACACCCCTCACCCCCACAAATTCAAACATTTCGTCCAACGTGTGACCATGCAATTTAAACGACACTTCACACCATCTCAAAATCTCACCATAAACGAATCATCAGTAAATAAAAAGAATAGAACTGAAATAACTCAGTATATCCCTTCAAAACACTGCAAGTTCGGGCAAACGTTTGGATGTTGGCGGAGTCTGTTACTGGCTACATTCTCCATATAACCGTTTACAGGGGTCGCAGATATGATCCTGTCCCTACTGGAAAAACGCAGACACAGATGCTCGTGAAGATTAAATAAATATACAATTTAATATCACTATGCATGTTTTCTGGTTTTCAATTTGGACAAATTGGTACATGAACCATGAACGCGAAAACATTAATATCATTCCATTTGAGAGCTTTTGTAATAATACGTAAAACTTGACAAATAATACATGACAATACATGTTACGTATGCTTTCATTGGTTGTACATAGGCACATTTACCAACATATAACGTACCTCGGTGTTTTTGAGGTTGCTATGATGCTAAACAAACCAGCGTCACTGAGGTAGTCAAGGAAACACGTGAGACTGTGAAGTACCAGGATGTTGTCGCGAACAGTAAAGGATCTTCGCCCATATATGTGTACATGTATATATAAATACCTTTCAATCACTTTAGATTTAGATACAAGAAATACAATAGCACAAACGGGTTGATAAATACATTGTGTTGTTTACATTTCTTGGTTTTCTTTAAGATTTTTCTGACTTATGGTATAGTTTGTGTTGTGTATCATTTAAAATATATTTACAATGTACGTAGATACGAAAATAATATGAACTCTTGCCTTCAACATACATTTATACATGTATATACAAGGTATGGGTCAAAGAAGTAATATAGACGGTAAAATTGCCTTGTCCGCGATGCTCTCAGCTTAATTGCTGCCTTCGGCTGTCTTTAGCCGAGGGGACTATTGGTTTTATATAAAAGCTATATTTTCAATTATAGTATATCAGTTCTACCTTCGTGTAATATGATGTATATGTTCTGTTTCACTGTGTCTTGATAAAGGAGCGGATCGCTACGAAAAGGCAACCTTAACTTGTCCAGACTGTTAGAATTACTTCTTTGCCCCATGTATATACAAGGTAGATAGATTTCCATCAGGATTTACTATTCACTGTTAGAAGGTGAAGCAGATAAACCCTGTGTCATTGCTTTAACTGCGTTACCTCTCTACAATTAACCAATCGGAGAAAAGTGTTACTTACGCAACTACTGTCATGATAAAATTAGAGCAAGGGTTGGGGACACTTTTAATTCTCACAAATCAAGCCTACATTCTGAGCCAATGTATATCACACGTGTTTGAATGTATATACCACAAGTGTCTGAATGTATACCACAAGTGTCTGAATGTATACCACAAGTGTCTGAATGTTTACCACAAGTGTCTGAATGTATATACCACAAGTGTCTGAATGTATACCACAAGTGTCTGAATGTATACCACAACTGTCTGAATGGATGCCACAAGTGTCTGAATGTATACCACAAGTGTCTGAATGTATACCACAATTGTCTGAATGTATACCACAAGTGTCAAAATGTATACCACAAGTGTCTAAATGTATACCACAAGTGTCTGAATGTATACCACAAGTGTCTGAATGTATACCACAAGTTAGCATGAAGGTTTGTACTAAGTAATATACATGTTTCAATACCAAAGAACCGAACCTTATGTTTTTCTGTGAATCACGAGAACAGAAAGTCGGTATTTTTTTCAAGAGTGTGGGAAATAGAAAACAAGTTTTCTTGCGAGTGGTTATATTTGCTAGGGTACATAAAGGAACATTTCTCAACATCGTAACCGTTTTTGTAAAGCAGCCATACATAGCGGATGAACATTGTAGAACAGTATGGCCAGTGTTTTATAGATACGTTTTAGTCATAATTCAAGAAATCTTCGTTCAAACGGAGAACATTTGAAATAACTACTAAATTTTTTGGGTCTTGAACATATTTTAATTTCAGAACCAATCTCTGTTCTATTTATATCCAATAGTTAACTATAGAACTCAATAGCAATACGTATACAAATTATGAAAGTATATGGTCAGAAATTCTTGTACAAAATCCTCTCAGTTATTATCTAATGAAATATTCAACTTCATTTATATTTTCTCCCGATATTTTAGTTTCAGTTCAAAGGTCAAACACATAACAAAACGCTGCTCATTAACTGAAAACGAGATAATAAACAGGGGACAAATTTGGAGAAAAATAAAAATGCATTTTTACAAAATGTATATACAGAATGTTGGTCATATTCTGAAGAACCTATTTAATCGACCAACGCAACACATGGCGTCAAATGCGTGCAAAACTTGTCATACAGGATCAATATGAGAGTCCTGAGTCAAACTAGGGAATTCTAAGTAAGCAAAATACTTTGCCTAAAAATTAGCATCACTCCGTAAAAATGAAAAAAGAGCACTATTTTTTTCAAATTGAAGTTTATTCTCAAAAACAACCATATACATGACATTTCACCAAAACGAACAAGGAAAAAAGGATAATTATATGTCCGTTTCGTTGACGTAGCGAGAGAGAAAGAAAGAAAAAGACCATTACAAAGTGAAAATAACATTAAACAATGTTTACATTTGCTCTGCATCCATCCATTGCAATGAATTGAGAAGGCAAATGTTGTTGTGAGACTATAGCAATATTTGCTATTGTAACGTCATCACTCTCTGTTGTGACGTCATCAATTTCATTGTTGTCAAGACTTCATTTGCTGTTACAAGAACTGTTCTAAGTGACTAAATAAAACGTAACTACTCTATCAAACTGTAAATATAAATATTGAATATTTTGGCAAATGTTGTTATGGTCCTATAACACACATTTCTATCGCTGACAAACTTACATAAACCGGCATAACAACATTTGCTTAAACAATCATTGCTTAAATATATGATATAACAAGAAAGTATTGATACATAAGTATAATATGATTTTAGGGGATATCAATAAAACATACCTGACATATGTAAGATACTATGTAATAATAATAATAATATACAGCATTCGATATAGCGCCCTATCTTGCTTACATAAGCCACTCTAATGCGCTCTACACTACATATATATACAATTAAAAAACTTAGCAAATACGCAAACCAATACAATTCTGAGGAATTGACAGGATCTGCCTTATCGGTCGCTAACTACTAGTCCTATGCCACCTTGCTAATATCTCCCTATGTGTATATGCCTGCGTTTGTGCTGGAGATGTTATGTGTGTAAGCAATCAAAGGTAGCCAAAAAACAATAAGGTTATAATAGCACGCCACTGTCAGTCATTGCGTGTCTTGTGGAATCGAATCAACGTGTTCGTTGAATTGAAAGTAAATGCGATTGAATGCCTTATACCTTACACTTGTCACAAGTATACTTAAATAGCGATGGTATGCTCTTTAGATGGCTTAATTTATTTATCTATCTCTACTCGCTCATATATTTATATTCAACACCTCAACAATAATGATAAGTTCTTTCATATAATAATGAGATCGCAATTGCATCCCTTTACTAACTAACATATACCCTTTATTTTCAACATGCATTATTGCTGATAGCATTCGTGTTACTACGGAAACTTGGTGACTTGTACATTTTTTTATTTGCAACGATATGTAGTTAACATTTACTACACATACAGTTGTAAGAATAAAAGAATATGCAATGAGTTCAAGAAACTTATTATGTGCCCGACCTGACTTAAGTTTAAGGTTAGGAGCAGAACGGAGTGAATAAAGATATAATCGGTTCATGTAATGTTGCTATCGAGAAGTGAGGTGGGACTCAATCTTGAATAATGATTCACATACTTTATATATAAAAGAGTAAACACCCAGGGAAGAAACAAATAGAAAAGTACTACATAAAGCATGGACACATTTAACCACTTATGTACTTAAACGGATATAAAAGTTATAAGACCAATAGGAGGAGAGCATGCTATATTTTAGAAGGGGAAATAAAAGCGCCCAAAGGATATTCTTTTTTCAATGTCAACTTTTGCCTCTTAGATCTGTTTCAAATGTTCCACTGAATTTGTTCCGTTGAATCTCTTAATGCAAAATTGTTAACTTTCCAAATAATTTCTGTGTGACGCTTTACATACTATGTCTGTTTTCGGGACCTTTGTGTATAGCCTCGTTAAATCAGATGTGCAGTTATTCTGTTGAACAACACACAAATATATAATGGTCAGCTATTTACATGTTTAAAATTAGATTTTAAAATCTTAGCGTCCTATGATAAATGACAACAACACCAGACATCGTGACAACTTGTCACTTCATCGAGATTCGAAAGATGAAAGAGAGTTGAAAGAACCTAGTCGATGGCCACCCTCGTGGTCCTGCAGCCAGTATGTCCTTACCCTGCCACGGATGGCGTTTTTCAGCTCATTTTCCAGCTGAAAGGATTAAAAAATACAATAAAAATGCCTTTTAAATGTTTGCTATGAACACAAACAGGAAACGAAAACTTATTTTGCTATCTTTCGAAAGCGTCTGTTTCCTTTGTCAAGCAATATTTCCTATTTTTGTTCGAAACAAGCTTAGCATTCGTTATTAATACCAAACTGATGAATCCTATTCCTTAAAATGCATTTAAAAAACCGTTATTCCAATCGATCATGCCATCGGTTACCAATTACTGGTGAAGACATAGTCTATGTGATTTTATCATAAATTAAAGTCCCTGTGATTGATAAATTATACAAAATTAAACAAACTAGATGCAAGACTAGCTTTGTATTTCAGTTCGTAGGTATTTAGGACATTACAAATTGATATGAAACGCATGTGTCTAAGACAATAACAAAAACACTTCATTCATCTGTTTCAGAGTCTAGTTGTAAGCATGAATACACACTGTCAGAGTCTAGTAGAAAGCATGGGTACACACTGTTAAAGTCTAGTGGAAAGCATGGGTACACACTCTTAAAGTCTAGTGGAAAGCATGGGTACACACTGTCAAAGTCGAGTGGAAAGCATGGGTACACACTGTTAAAGTCTATTGGAAAGCATGGGTACACACTCTTAAAGTCTAGTGGCAAGCATGGGTACACACTGTTGAAGTCTAGTGGAAAGCATGAGTACACACTGTTAAAGTCTAGTGGAAAGCATGGGTACACACTCTTAAAGTCTAGTGGAAAGCATGGGTAAACACTGTTAAAGTCTAGTGGAAAGCATAGGTACACACTGTTGAAGTCTAGTGGAAAGCATGAGTACACACTGTTGAAGTCTAGTGGAAAGCATGAGTACACACTGTTAAAGTCTAGTGGAAAGCATGAGTACACACTCTTAAAGTCTAGTGGAAAGCATGGGTAAACACTGTTAAAGTCTAGTGGAAAGCATAGGTNGGTTAAAGTCTAGTGGAAAGCATGAATACACACTGTTAAAGTCTAGTGGAAAGCATGGGTACACACTATCAAAGTCTAGTGGAAAGCATGGGTACACACTCTTAAAGTCTGATGGAAAGCATGGGTACACACTCTTAAAGTCTAGTGGAAAGCATGGGTACACACTGTTGAAGTCTAGTGTAAAGCATGGGCACACACTGTTAAAGTCTAGTGGAAAGCATGGGTACACACTGTTGAAGTCTAGTGGAAAGCATGGGTACACACTGTCAGAGTCTAGTTGTAAGCATGGGTACACACTGTTGAAGTCTAGTGGAAAGCATGGGTACACACTGTTAAAGTCTAGTGGAAAGCATGGGTACACACTGTAAAAGTCTAGTGGAAAGCATGGGTACACACTGTCAAAGTCTAGTGGAAAGCATGAATACACACTGTTGAAGTCTAGTGGAAAGCATGGGCACACACTGTTAAAGTCTAGTGGAAAGCATGAGTAAACACTGTTGAAGTCTAGTGGAAAGCATGAGTACACACTGTTAAAGTATAGTGGAAAGCATGAGTACACACTGTTAAAGTCCAGTGGGAAGCATGAGTACACACTGTTAAAGTCTAGTGGAAAGCATGGATACACACTGTCAGAGTCTAGTTGTAAGCATGAGTACACACTGTCAGAGTCTAGTGGAAAGCATGGGTACACACTGTCGAAGTCTAGTGGAAAGCATGAATACACACTGTTGAAGTCTAGTGGAAACCATGGGCACACACTGTTAAAGTCTAGTGGAAAGCATGGGTACACACTGTCAGAGTCTAGTTGTAAGCATGGGTACACACTGTGGAAGTCTAGTGGAAAGCATGAGTAAACACTGTTGAAGTCTAGTGGAAAGCATGAGTACACACTGTTAAAGTCTAGTGGAAAGCATGGGTACACACTGTCAGAGTCTAGTTGTAAGCATGGGTACACACTGTGGAAGTCTAGTGGAAAGCATGGGTACACACTGTAAAAGTCTAGTGGAAAGCATGAGTACACACTGTTAAAGTCTAGTGGAAAGCATGGGTACACACTGTCAGAGTCTAGTTGTAAGCATGAGTACACACTGTCAGAGTCTAGTGGAAAGCATGGGTACACACTGTTAAAGTCTAGTGGAAAGCATGAATACACCTTGTTAAAGTCTAGTGGAAAGCATGAGTACACACTGTTAAAGTATAGTGGAAAGCATGAGTACACACTGTCAGAGTCTAGTGGAAAGCATGAGTACACACTGTTAAAGTATAGTGGAAAGCATGAGTACACACTGTTAAAGTCCAGTGGAAAGCATGAGTACACACTGTTAAAGTCTAGTGGAAAGCATGAGTACACACTGTTAAAGTAAAGTGAAAAGCATGGGTACACACTGTTAACGTATAGTGAAAAGCATGGGTACACACTGTTAAAGCTTACCATCAAAGGGAGATCGTGTCTCTGCTCAACAAGGAAACCACCAAGTTCACTCAGAAGGTCATGCATTGACTCGCTGATGTGAATTTTATTTGCTAAAAAAATCACAAAAATAATTAAAGATACACAGAAAAGATACAACTATTTAAAGTCAACATCACAGAGCCTTTTGAATTGTTTTTGAATTGATTGTATAGACAGGAACAATACTGAGAAGAGCGACTCGAATACCGAATCTTGTTTTGTTCTCATGTTATAAATGTATATGCTTGATACTTCAATTCATATAAAAAATGATTGAACGTATTATGCATCATATATATAAGCGAGACTTATTAACCCCTGAATCTGTAGGTGTCAGTTGCATATTATGAAAGACACTATAGTTGCATCCTAATGATTATTCATTACCCAACTTAAAAAGGATTGGACGACACTTTTACTTAATACAAACATACGTTATTACACCGATTCTGGAGAGACATATTACCTTTTCCAAGAGACTCCATCATAGAGGCTATGCTGACGGTAACCCCAAATAGACAGTAGCGAGGCATCTTGGTACCAACTACTGCAGCCACGACAGGACCTAAAATACCAGGTGACAACGACAGGTAAGCTTTGAGGGAGTTTTGTATATTTTGTATGTATCAAAACATTATTTGTTCAATGTATAAATAGATAAAGTACATTCTTACAAAGATCGCAAGTACTTTTTCAATGGTAAAACAATTTTAAAACTGCATTTAGTAATGGCGTTCTATTTTGCCCAATGATTTTTGGAAAATAAACTTTCAAGAAGTTCGTGAGGCATAAACAAAATGATTCATTGTGTAATGGTATTCTAGACAGAACATTCCCATGTTATACCTTGAAGTATATTTTGTTTAATATATGTATGCAAATTTGGCAGGGAAAATAACATTGACGGAGTTCGTACCTGAGTGACAACCAATCCTCAGCTTAAACTTTGTCCCGGGTAAGTGAGGGATTTCTAGACGGTCAATATGTTCCAGAATATCCAGGGCCATGGTCGCTACCTCTGCAGCATGACGGCGGCCATTAAGCTTCGGTACACCTGTTATCAGTCATACCCAGAACAAAGGTACAACGAATGAATAGCACATTTAGTCTGGGATACATATAATACAATTATATTGAAAACTCTTGCACGTGTAATCAAAATCACGTGAATATAAAAATGCAAATAGCTTCATATACCCCTGATAATTTTTTTTATTCAAAACTGTTAAATATACAGCTAAAATCAATTCAGTTGGTATAACTGAAATCAAAATCACAATTGACGTATTCATTGAAGGATTAAATCTTGCTTTGGTCGATTTCATGGGGTGATGAATAGAGCTGGTCTTGAAACAAATTCCGAAGAAGTTCATGTTGAATTTGTTTCAAGACCAACTGAATTCATCACCCAATGGAATCGACCAAAGCTAGATGCAATACTTACATTTCAATCTATGTTTTTTCTCTCAATAATTGGAACTTGTGAAGACCATTCTGATCGTTTGTCCTAGGTTCTGGAGCTTGTGCAAGTCTACGGTATGACGTAATGTAAAACATATAGTCCGTCATTGAAGGACCATCATACAACATGATGATGTACATTGATAGTTCAATACAGCCGACTTGTGTTGAAACAAAACACAAAACCATATTTTAAATGTCAGATTTAGTTTTCGTTGATGAATTCAAAAGATATCAAATTTTCTGATGCGTCATCGCGGAAGAATAATGTCTAGACGCGGTGCACGGGCTCAGCTGCGAGTCTACGGCAGCCATATTTTTACTACTGTAGCTCGAAGTGTAGCCAGGTGAATGGGTCACAGCACACATAAACTATACATTTATACACATATGCTATACTGATATGAGTCGCAGCACACATAAACATACATTTATATGTATGTGTATGTGTGCTGTGACCCATATCAGTTTTAGCATGATATATCTATTTCAGACATTCTTAACGAACCCCTGTGGATCTACGTTGTAATGGGTACCTGCAGGGAGAATTTCTAGGGCAGTACATTACTTGTCACTACCGCTAGCAACCGTGAGCTGATACTATTTTGCTGATTGATCATTTTTAGTTGTTTGAACAATTTCTTGTGTTGCTTCAATAAAAATGTGAAATATCAGTAAGTGGTATCTTTGTTAAAACATGTCAATAGTTATCTACCTTCGCAAAATCATACGCACAGGCAATGTTAATCTGGTCAAATTCATCGGAAAATGAAACAGGTTATATTTGGTAGTTGCATTGAGTCTAACTTGAGTAGGATTGAAATTGTGGAGTTATGACTGCCTTAGCATTATTACTGACGTCATCAGTAAAACTTGTCAATACGAAAAAAAACACTGCTTTCAGTTTGTATTTGTATTCAATAGGAATACTAACTCATGATAGACCAGTTTTAATAGCTATTATTTAAAACAAAAAGGCCAACGATGAACGTTATATCGGATTAATTTCTGCATAGAACTTTTTGTACAACAAATGAAAAATATTGACGAATTGGTCATAATATGTTGTTGTATATGCTTACTTTGTTTGACTTTTTCCTAATTCTGGTATCTAATGTTTGGTTATAAAGAATAATTTTGAAAGTGATATTTGTATAATACGTACCAGATACGACCATGTAAGCGTCTCCAATCGTCTCAACTTTATACACGTCGAACAGTTCCAGTCGTTCGTCAAAGCACAGGTAGAGACTATTCAACATGTCGACCACCTGCATTGGGGAGCACTGCGAAGCGATCTGTGTGAACCCAACAATATCGCTGAATAAGACAGTTGCATCAGGGTAATTTTCGGCCCCAACTTCTTCGTTTCTTTTCAGCCGTTCGGCAACGGAACGTGGTAACATCTGGTACAGCAGAGTGTCAGTGCGTTTCTTTTCTTTGTTCAGAGCCTTGGTTCTGTAAAGAAATAATTGCATATCGTGATAGGTAGAGGTATTTAAAGCAGCATATGCTAGTTTTGGTATGTATTACAAACTGATAAATTTAAAATTATGTATTTATTCAGACGCTTTAAACTATGAATAGCAAGCATTTATCTTAAATAGTAACAAAGTTACGCTTATATTGACATTTGTACACCAACTCAATTATTGCTAAGTTTTACTACCGACTAAATGAAAAACATCGTATAGAAATATATATATATCCACAGTTATGCAAACATACCATACAGTGTTTAGATATAACAAAGATATCCTTTGGTGATTTGACGGTTCGACATTAAAATGGCCAAACTTTAAATCGCCAAAGTTTACAACAGTCAATTTGAGGTTCGCAAACATCTCAAACTTCGATAATTTTGTTTCTGACTATCAATTACACGTCAGTATCCAAGTATGTAAAGACATAACATGTTGTCAGTTGCAATGAAAAGTTAATTAAAAAAGTACAATAGAAACAGTTGTTTGAAAGTAGATATTTTAAGCGGTTTTTATGATATTTAAAGCGTAATTTCATATAAAGCGGCACACTTGCTTCTCGCATTTTTCACTGCAATTCATATTCTGCGTTTCAAAAGCACCCGTCGTCATCTGACGTTGTCGCAATACCTCTCAATTAAATAAAATTCTTACCGATTCGCAATTGATATAGAGTACTTCTGGATCTCCGAGGTCAGTGAGTACACAGCAAACACAATCAGTGGACAGAGGATCAGGATGATCCCGAACACGACAGAAATGAAAACTATATTCCGCAAGTCTTCCTCAGCTTCCATACGCAAAATCTCATCGATTTCCGAGGCGAGGCGGATTTGTACCTCTCGAAGAGTGTCCTGGTAAACAGTCATGTTTTCAAACCACCAGTTCGCATATTTGAACGATCCCTTGATTGCTGAACTCTTATTACTCCTTATTTCGCTTCTCATTTCATTGATAGGCTGAATTACACTTGAATTCCGCAGAAGTGTGTCTTCATAGATACTGTAAGCGAGCTCTGAATATCGCCTTGCAGATTCAAATGTGATGTTAGCAATATCCTGACTTTCCACAAAGTCAAGATATTCATCTCGAGTCAAAAAGCCACCTATCGCATAAAATGATACCCCTAGTCCTCTTTCTCTCCCGAAGTACTCACTGGCAACCACAATTTCCTGATACGCAACCAGCGTTGGCCATACCGTTCCAGAACGCGCTTCAACGATCGCCTGGTACAACCATTTGATGAAGACCTCGATGCTGTCGGAGTAAAACGCCACTTCGTCTTTTGATGTTCGATTGTACGATTCCAATTGATATCGATGTCGGTTGAGGTAGGATAGAAAACTTTCCTTTGTTTGGAATTCTCTCCTGACGATCGTCTCGCTGGTAGGCCAAAAAGACAGATTCTGGAGTCCGACATCAGTATCCGGGTATCGATCTAACAAGAAATCTTTCGTCTGAGGACTCTTACTACTGATGTAGAGGGCGCTGATATCACGTTCTCGCTGCATCATACGTAGCAACCATCCTAACTCAATACTAAAGTAGAGGATATTCCGAATGTTTGACAAGCTGATGTAGTTGTCAAGGGAGACAATAAAGGTATTGGCTGTCATACCAGTAAGTACAACTACTGGAACCAATACAACTGTCAACATCTTGAACATGTGTAATCGCTTCCCGGCGTCCGTGATTGGATTTCCTGCGGAATGGAATAATTAAATGATTTCTCATTGTACACCTGTACACTTTCGCCTTGTCATTTTTTCTCCGTTCTATGGTAAAATTTATATTTGCATAGTCTTAATTTCGCTCTTCACACGTATTTGCTATACAAATATATTCGCTGTCATAATAAAATTCACCTTTTTGACAGATGTCGAAAAAGGTGAAAAATTAAACTTGCGGCGTTAATGTCAAGGTATACAGTATTGGCTCAACATCCATTACAAAAATCAGTATCAAAATATGAGTTTATCTTAACTTTAAAACAATTTTAAACTGCAAAATATCTGTATCTGATTCTGTAAAATCAGGAATCTTAAAGATGAACATAAGACACACACACATGTGGTTGGTCCTTAAAAAATTGCCAAGAAATAAAACTCCTGGTCTGTTTTTACAAAATGCAGATTTTACTTAAATCATAAATTATATAAAAAAAAAACAACGAAACGATAGTAAAAAAAAAGGGCTGTTATTGTGTAGTTATGTTCCAATTTTACATGAGACAATGTATGTTATAATTTTCAAACAAAAGTGAAAAACGTACCGCGACAAATGATCTCACATCTGTTCCAGTTTTCGTTGACATGTAACATATCCATGATGACAGCATTAAGTTGAGATTCATTCAGCGATTCCATTGAAGGCGACTGTTTTTTCCCCGAGGAAGGCTGAACCGGTTGTATTTTGTTATTTGCCATGATGGTAAGCCTGAATATCACAAAATATAATTTAACACGAAACATATCAATGATTACGTTAATATTATATAGAAAAGTATGTGATATTAACCGCTTGACCTCTTACCAGGTCATACATGTATTACATTGCACTGTATAACTAGCTGTAAAAGCTTAAAGATGGACGGCACCAATAATGTATTTAAAAAAAAGAATGTTATTAGTTTTGTATAACAACGGCAAAAGAAATGAAATAAATCCCCACAACACAAAAATTTAAAATATTCCCTTCTTTTCGGCTCTTTTAACGAACCCATTTTTTTAAAAGCTCGGAGAGTAATCATTCAATTGACTTCCTACACACGTATATGCAGACATTCTATATACGTACCAATGTGTAGGACATTAGTTTTTGTGTTTTTGTCGATAATATTAATAATTGATTTTCACGAAATATATTTTTGCATGTATACATTGAACTGCACATCCGAAACAAAAAGGCTGCCAGACGCACTGTAGATCGTTGTTGTTTATGAATGCCTGTGTTTAAACAGAGCACAGCCTACATTCTATCTCACAAACATGCATACATAATACATCAGGTGTCTTAAGTGTTTCGATTGTGTGCAGTATTACACATAATGAAGTTATCTAGAAAAGAACAGCTAATACAATGGAATATGGGATATACACAGACACACAGGTATTATCTTAAAAGTAAAAATTCTAAAAACCTATTAAGAGTCATATCTACTTTGTCACTCTCGTTTGTCACTATCGTCTGCAATAGTGGCTACAAGCACTTTGTTTTTGCACTCATAATGCAACATTAGCCTATCTTCGTCATTTGTACTTCATTTATACTAAATTTACTATATTTCTGCTAAACTACAATTATAATACTGTTTTTGTCACTACCTAGCCGTACTAGGTCAGGTAAATATCTTGCCTCAAGATATCGTATTGTCAAAAAAGAAAGTGCCTGTTTATTTTGCCCAGTGACCTGTGATACAGGTTGCAGTAATTAATTGGTTTTATGTGTTTACTAAAAACCTAGCACAGATTAATATAACTTTTACATTGTATCTAAATTTAGAAATAGGTTTTCCTGCTGACATCTGGTAATATTTAGTTATTAGAAAAATATGAAGCAAGACTTGTGTCTTTTTTATAGTACTGAATGAAGTATTGAATTTTACATACAGGCAAACATTAAAATCAAATTCAATAGATACACACAAGAGTATGAATATCAATAGATACACACAAAGAGTATGAATACCGGTGTACGTATTTCGTATTCACATTTACGATCTTACATTTGTAGTCGAATTAACGCCGTTATTTAACAGCTAATATTCAATTTAATTAATGTAGAGCGTCTCATAAATTGTTCACATTTGCCCATTTAAAAAAAAAAAATCGTATTTCAAATCAAACAAGAGGCCCAGAGGGCCTGTATCGCTCACCTGAATATGTTTGAAATAATTGCCATGAAGTTAAGATATAGCACTCCTTGGTAGGTGCTGTAAGTACATATGAAATTTCAGAAAGATCCATCCAGTACTTGAGATATAGCGAGAACAACCTTCAAACAGAGCACCATCCCTATGCCCCTAGGGGGGTCATACCCACCAATTATAAACAAAATGAGTCCCCTTGGCCCATTAGGATGCTCCAGAATAAATCAGGATAAAATCCTTAATCCCTTAGGAACAACAAGGATTTTAAAGGTTTTTCCTCTATTTCCCATATTGGGCCCCGACTCTCTGCCTCCAGGGGGTCAGACACACCGTTTTTCAAAGTTGGTTCCCCTTGACCCAATGGTGCTTCATACCAAATTTGCTATGTTTCCCCTATTGGGCCCCATCCCTCATTCCCCTGGGGGCCAGACCCTCAGTTTATCCAAAATTGGTTCCCCTTCACCCAAGGATGCTTCCGACCAGATATGGATAAAATCCATGCATTCCTACAGAAGAAGAAGGATTTTAAAGGTTTTTCCTCTATTTCCCATATTGGGCCCCGACTCTCTGCCTCCAGGGGGTCAGACACACCGTTTTTCAAAGTTGGTTCCCCTTGACCCAATGGTGCTTCATACCAAATTTGCTATGTTTCCCCTATTGGGCCCCATCCCTCATTCCCCTGGGGGCCAGACCCTCAGTTTATACAAAATTGGTTCCCCTTCACCCAAGGATGCTTCAGACCAGATATGGATAAAATCCTTTCATTCCTACAGAAGAAGAAGGATTTTAAAGAATAATTTGCTATGTTTCCCCTATTTGGCCCCGTCCCTCAGGCTCCTGGGGGGCCAGACCCACGGTTTATACTAAATTGGTTCCCTTTCAAGCAAGGATGCTTCAGACCAAATATGGACCAAATCCTTTCATTCCTACAGAAGAAGAAGGATTTTAAACAATTTGCTATGTTTCCCCTATTGGGCCCCGCCCGTCAGGCTCCTAGGGGGGGGCAGACCCACGGTTTATACAAAATTGGTTCCCCTTCACCCAAAGATGCTTCAGACCAAATATGGACCAAATCCTTTCATTCCTACAGAAGAAGACGGATTTTAAACAATTTGCTATGTTTCCCCTATTGGGCCCCACCCCTCAGGCCCCTGAGTGGCCATACCCACCGTTTATACAAAATGTGTTCCCCTTTCCCCTAGGTTGCTTCTGCTCAAATTTGGTCAAAATCTGATTAGTCGTTCAAGACAAGTAGCGTTTTAAAGGAAAAGTTGACGGACGGACGACGGACACTGCGGTATTGCATAAGCTCACCATGGTCCTTCGGATCAGGTGAGCTAATAAAACGTTTTAAACTACAACATACAGTATTTACCTACGTTTCTATTTAATACGTCGATGAGTAAAATCTATTCGACTTCCATTAAAATGGTATCTGACTGTATCCAGGTTATCCTATCCGACCTCTTTTGAAGTAGACTCGTCCAGTATCCATTAAAATACAAGCCGTACTCTCTCAAAGAGAGTCTTCAGGTGGTATCCAGGTAAAACATACACTGCCTCGTTTGAAGTAAATGTCCAGAATCTTAATAAATCCTACACGACCTGATTTGAGGTAGAGTCTCCCCGTACCAAGGTAAATTCTACACAGCCTCTTTTGAAAAGGAAAAAAATATCGAGGTTTAGAAATGTTAAGGAAAAACAAGATTGGATTTTATATGAAAAATGAAATAACAAAATATCATAGATGATATAGTAAGGTTATTTCGATATTATATTAACAGGAAACATGGGAAACATGATAATCAATCCTACTGGTATCTGTATCTGTTTGAAAGCAAATTTGAATCAAATACAAAACAAAAAAAACATGGTAGGTTAATGTGGCATTTAAAAACATAATTATTGAAATAATGTTGATGAAAAACAACAAAATGAATTATATCAACATCGTGCCATAACGAGGACTATTTGAGACTAGTTACTATGGAATACAAGCAAAAAACTTACTTGGCTGTATTGAAGGTCGACACCGTCCTCCTGTCTACAAAACTAGCGCACAGGTCTGCTTTCAACTTACCAAATAAGCTTTATAGCTCTTGAATTACCATGGCAACGAACCTTGCGCACACACATCCAAGACACAAACTGTGAAATGTCACAAGGAAGATGACAGGCCTATGTACAAAGTATCGATCAACTATGGATAATTAGCAGCTTTTTTGAAATCCTTAAGGTGTCTATCAACAGACTGGGTAATAATGATTTAGTGTATTACACACATGTATTTATATATTAATTCAATTTTTGTTTAAACTAGAATGGCCAAATCAAAAACAAAACTTAACAGTATGAATATACCATTATAGAACCCCTTACATTTTGCGTCATATCTTCAAGTGATAGAAAAAAGTTATAAACTGAGATATCATACCAGTAAATGTTTTAATATCTATATTTAGACATGGCTGTAGAAGTGTTCGATACAACCACCGTATCAAGCGACATTCTCAAATAAACATGTATCGATCTATCCAGTTACCAACGAGTGTTGACGAATTCCTTCGGTTTCATACTTTAATTAAATCATCAGTTTCAAACATTAATCGTAAGTAAAAGATTTTTGTATTTTTCTTTACAAAATATCTTGTGAAACATTTTATGATTTTCGATTATTCCTTTTTTTCTGATCAATTTAACTGGAAACGTTATTTTACCTGTTTTAATCCAACCGGATACATTGCAAGTTCTGGGCAAAATATGGCCTAATGAAGCAGAAGAATAATCGGTCTGAGGAAGCATCTCAAAATGATCTGAATGTTCGATATCAATAACACTTAATTTTCAGAAATATGGTTCAAGGTATATTTCAGGGAATGACATAACTTACAATTGACAAACATTCAAATAATGCGTCAGTTACACCATTGTATTTTTCTGTCACGTTTCTATTACGTCATACATCTTGGATCCCAGAATAAAAATACTGTCTTGAAATTTTCATGGATGTTGATACATATCATTTACTGTAGATGATGTACTCAACCAACGGAGCTTGAGTTTTTTGGTGTAAAAAGATGAAAAGAGTAATGACATCAATGGTCAAATCGAAAATTAATTGTTTTGATATATATATATACGTATGCATATGTTATTTTTACAATTCACAATTATTAGCCTTTATATAATATTCAGAGAAAAGCACAGTGTTAAAAGACTCAACTGCTGTGTTGAGGTATTTTGTTCGTTAAAATATATCTATTTTGTATTTTACGATGACATACATGTAAATATAGTAACCATGGTGATTTATAAAATCCCCTTGTTTATGATGGAAGTGTAAATGAATGCAGCGACATTAACCCTTACATTTATAATGGATTAGACAAATCAGAATTATATTGTAAACAAAAAAACATGTATACATGTATACGGTAGGAAGCAAGGTAGTCTAGTGGTAGGACGCCGGGCTCGTGACCGAAGGGTCGAGTCGAGTCACGGCACGGCACTGTGTTGTATCTTTGAGCAAGATACTTTGCTCCGCTTGTTCCAGTCTACTCA